AGCTCTGGTGCCATCCAGGTTGGACCCTTCCCAGCCCTGGCACCATCTAGGGAGGGGCAAAGGCCTGGGTGACGCTTGCTTGGAGGTTGACTGTACCCTTACTCTTTGTTTCTTGTCTTTGTGTCTGTCCCCTGGTACTTGCTGAGAGAAAAAAGAAATTTGAGCAAAGCAGGAGGTGGAAAAATGGATCCAAATCCCAGTGTTCCCTGCTCTATTCCACACCTTTCCTTTAGTGGTGGGAAACCCTAACCTCGCAAAGTGAATGTGTTCCCCCTTTCTGACCTCTAGTGTATTTCACAGAAAAACCTCCCAATAAAACCTGTGTTGAAACCTGAGCGTGGTCTTTAAATTGCTCAAGGGGGCCCTTGGGGTGGGGTGGGGTGGAGGTGGTCTTCACTGGCCTTGTTGGTGTTGGCAAGCAGGAACTGCTCAGAAAGTAGGGAGGACTGCAGGGTCCAGCCTTTTGGTGGAGGTGGAATACCTCAGGCTGGCCATCCCCAGACTCTGGCGGAGTGAACCCCAGAGTGGTAGAGGTGACCTGTGATGGAGGACCCCTTAGTCGGGGAATCCCCATGATAGGACTTCAGAGGTGGTAGGAGCACCCTTAGAAGGTCCACCCTGGCTGGAGACCAACAGAGTGGCAGGGCTGATGTCAAGTTGGAGGTGGGGGACCCCTTATTCTGGGGCCCCCATAGTAGGGTTGTTAAACAGTATCCTTGGGGGGGGAGAGCAGAGGGACATTTTAGACTGTATTCCCTCATGGTGGCAGGGGTGATGCCAAGCTGGAACTGCTAGGGTCTGTGGAATCCTAATGGGGATGCAGAAGTGGAAGGGGTACCTGCAGAGGGACCCTTTAGTCTTGGGGCCCCTATGGTGGGACTGCCCTGGAGGGGGTAGAGGAATCTCAGCCTGGAGACCTTCCAGCACAAAGTTGCCTTCCCTTTTAATTTATTCTAACTTACTAACCTTGGTCCCGGCTGAGCACCGGACGAGGAGGTGGAGAGCCCTCTCACCCTCACCAGCTCTGGTGCCATCCAAGTTGGACCCTTCCCAGCCCTGGCACCGGTGATTGGGTGGGAAGAGGCGTCGGAGGGGTGACCTCAGCTGGAAGTGGTCAGAGACCGTTCAGGCTGGGGTCCCCCATGGTTTGGCTGGAGACCCCCCAAAGTGGTAGGGACAATCTCAAGTGGAGTAGGGGGTGAGCTCTCAGGCTGAATTCTCCCATGGAAGGACTGCAGAGGCAGTAGGGGTGACCAGCTGGGAGCAGGGGGGACCCCTTAGGCTGGAGACCCCCAAGGCAGCAGCGTCTCAGAGGCCGCAAGGGCCACCTCGACCAAAGGGAAGCGGGGGATGGGGCGGGGCGATCGCAGGTCACGTGGCAGGGCGGGCCGTGGGGGCGGAGTCCCCAGCGTTCACTGCCGGCCTACGTCACCGCGTCAGCTGACTCCATCTCCACCGTCACCTCCGAGACTCCCGCCTTGTCCCGGGCTCGTCGCTGTTGCTTCTTTCGGGCTGTCACTGCAGCCACCGCCGCCATGGCTCAGTACAAGGGCGCTGCGAGCGAGGCGGGCCGCGCCATGCATCTGATGAAGAAGCGGGAGAAGCAGCGCGAGCAGATGGAGCAGATGAAGCAGCGGATCGCTGAGGTGCGCGGGCGCGCGCGGGCGGGCGTCGCCGGGCATGCGCGCCGCCGCGGTGATCTCTGCCAGGCCACCTGGTCCTGCCCGGGCCCGTGACCTTGCCCAGACCCGACCCTGTGCCCGGCACGCGCGGCCGTCCGACCTGGGCTGGGATCCCAGTTGGGCCAATACCTGCTTGTGACACGAGCGAGCTGGCTAGTGTTCTCATCTGCAAAATGGGTGCACATTGTGCTGCGTCCGAGGCTGAGATCACGCTGTTTCTAGTCTTTGGCACTCGTGGCCTCCAGCACCAGCCCAGAGGGCCCTGGCTCTGTCGAGGGCACGTTCTCTCCCTGGGGACAGTCACACAGGGTCCTGCCAAGCCAAAGGTGTGAGAAATACTTGAATGAAGAGCAAGTGCTAGTAGGCACCCAGGAAAGACCGAAGGAAAGCTCCCCAGCTTGAGGAACTGGGGGGAGAGGAGGGACTTGGGAGGTACAAGACACTCGTGCTCTGAGTGGAAATTGTGTCCCTGGCTCGGTCCCAGCTCAGCGGTCATCCCGGAACACCCTTGGCTAGATAAAGATGAAGAGGGAAAGCGTGCATCGGGAAGCCGGAGGGTGGGAGCACTTACAGGACTGAGCCGTTGGCCCATCTTGTCTCCTTCACACCCTTGGCTTGGGTCTTGAGACCTGACAAAGACTAGACATGAAAAGGCCCCGCTATCCAGGCCTCTGGGGTGAAATGGAGGGGTAGGGGTGTGGCCAGAGAGAAGGGACTTGACCCCAGGCACCTAGGTCAGGAAGGGCCCCTCACCATTTGGTGGAGCCTTTGGACAAAGGAGAGGTCTCTTGGGGCATGGTAGCTAGCCCTGACTTCTGAGTTTCCCCACTCCCCACAGGAGAACATAATGAAATCCAACATCGACAAGAAGTTCTCCGCACACTACGATGCTGTGGAGGCAGAGCTCAAGTCCAGCACTGTGGGTGAGTGGGTACCCGTGGCGGCCCCTCCCTTGCTCCAGCCTGGCTCTGGGTGACTTTCCTATCCTCATGTCCCCCCTCTCAGGTCTGGTGACCCTGAATGACATGAAGGCTAAGCAGGAGGCCCTGGTGAAGGAGCGGGAGAAGCAGCTGGCCAAGAAGGAGCAGTCCAAGGAGCTGCAGCTGTGGGTCCCCCTCCCAATGCCCTTGGCTCCCTGGGTCCGACCCCTAGAAGTGGGGCTGAGCTGTCGCTGCGCTTGCATGGGTGGCGGGCTGGTCCCCTTCTGTGCTTTGGGATTTTTTTCTCTGGCCTGCCTTCTTCAGCTCCGTACTGACTTCTCCACTTCCATGGTTTGTCTTCCATCCTCTATTCTTCCGAAAACATCCTGAGTAGACTCTCCTTACACCAGGCGTCTTCAGAGATGCTCTTTGTGTTATTCTCTGCCCACGTCTATCTCCCTTTACTTTACCCAGAAAGGGTCCCTGGGTCGATAGGACTTGACTGTGGTGCCCAGGAGGCCTGGCCTGCTCTGAGCGGGGCTCTGTCTCTAGGTGGCTGTGGGCCCAGGTGGGGTGGGGCGTGAGCACCACCAATGTCTTGGTAGGAAGCTGGAGAAGCTGCGAGAGAAGGAGCGTAAAAAAGAGGCGAAGCGGAAGATCTCGAGCCTGTCGTTCACACTTGAGGAAGAAGAGGAGGGAGCCGAGGAGGAGGAGGAGGTGGCTATGTATGAGGAGGAGCTGGAGAGGGAAGGTGAGGGGAGGCCTGGTGGAGGAGCAGTCCCACCCAGGCCCTTTGGGGCACCCTGTCCCATGCACTTGACTCTGCAGTGAGACAGCCACCACTTGCTGTGTTCATGGGCCTGAATCTCACCGTGGGCCCAGCTAGATCAGAATGAGGTGGGTGGCTGCAGGGCTGGCAGTGTGCTCGGGCAGGAAGACTGCGAGAAGCTGCCTTGCATGGTTGCTGTGCAGGGTAGCAGGCAGGAGCAGATTGGACCAGTGCTGAGTGTGAGAACTTGCTGTGATGGTGAAGTGTGCTCCGCCTGTGGCTCTGCTCGGCACAGCAGCCGCCAGCCAAACGTGGTTACCAAGCTCTTGTTATGTGGCTCTTAGGTACTTGTTAATTCCATTTGATTACATTGTTTCAGCTTTTTATTGTGATTTGAATGAAAATTGAACAAGTTGGTTTGCCATTCGTCCATACGCAGTTGTGTGGTGTTGACGCCAGGCCCCCATTTTACCAGCGTCCCTCCTCCTTCCCTGTGACTCTGCTTCCCTCTCAGCCTTCTCTCCTGTCTTTGGGACTTTGTTCTTGGGTAAATGCTGGCCTTTTGGTCTCACGTAGTTAATTGTTCTCTTCCTTGGTGTTTGTGTTCTAGGCTTGATGGGAGACAAAGGGCTAGACCATCAGTTTCCATCAGACCAGCAAGCCTCATTTCTTTTTTTATGGTTTTGAATTTTGCTTCTTGATCAGGGCCTTTTGGTTGCAGTCCCCGTCAGTCAGCAGTGGTAGCCCGGTACTATCTCGTTTTTCTTGTCTTGGGGTCATGGAAGTCGAGGTTTGTGTGTTTGTTTAATTTAGATGAAAATGTACATGGCATGTATGCTCAGTGGCTGTTGAAGAGTGCAAGTCTAGACTGCAGCAAGGCGGGCACCAGGAACAACGCAGAACGAAGAAGCTGATGTGGAATCTGGTATACTGCACTTAACGCTCTGGGCCTGGCCAGGAGAGGTCATGCACAGAAGCAGGGCGCTGTCTCCCTCCTAGTGGGAAACAGGCCACCACATACTGGATGCCACAGGGGATGCTTCCTACGAGGTGAGAGTTGAGTTGTCCCTTCACAGTGAGCACAGTGTCATTAGCTGAAAAGGTGGAAAGGGCTGGGCAAGTACTCTGAGGCACAGGCTACCTTGTGCATGGACAGTCGAGTGGATACTTGGAGAACTTGCCGCAAGTGGTGGCACGGGCCGGTTCTTCATTCAGTCTTCAGACGTTTTGTGTGTTGTCTTTACCTTAACTTACCAATTTATTTATTTTTACTCCCCTCTTTCTCCTTTCCTATCCCTTTTAACTCTCTAAGGTTGATTCTGACAGCGGATAAACCTTTCCTTAGCTTTTTATAGTAGCAGTCCTATTAGGGAGATCTGGCGACCTAGTGGTAAGGAGCTGCATTGCCATTCCAAAGGTGTGTGACGTGGTTCCAATCCCCCAGGGGCCCCATGGGAGAAATACGGGCAGCCTCCTCCTGTGTAGTTGGCTGCCTTTGAAAACCCACTGGAGGGTCAGCTTGGAGTTGGTTCATACTCAACGGAACATGACATCAATACCGTGACTGCCCTTATGTCACTAACGTAATGTTACTTAGCACAATTTGTTCTAGTTTCATTCATGTGTCGAAGTATTTCACAAATCTTTGATTAGTTTTTACTGATGGATAATGTGCTTGCATGGATACAGTGGAGTTCCTTCATCCATTCATCTGTTGATGGACACGTGGGTTGTTTCCATCTCTCAGCTATTGTAAGCAATGCTGAAATGAACATGAACTTTGTGGGAGTTAGTGTTACAGCTCTTATTTCTTTGGGGTATATACTTAGTATTGAGATTCCTGGGTTAAGTGGTATTTCTAGTCTCAACTTTCTAAGAAGGTGCCAAACTGCCTTCCATTTTACATTTTCACCAACAGTGTATGAGAGTTCTAATTGCTCAACACTTTAACCAGTATTTGTTGTTTACTGCCTTATTGAACATTGCTATTTTTGCTGGAGATGATATCTCATTCTTTTTTAGATCTGTAGCTCTCAAAACCTAATTAGAGATCTCTGGTGGCTTGTTGTTGTTGTTGTTATGTGCCATCGAGTCGCTTGTGGCTCATAGCGACCCTATGTACCACAGCCCTAAACCCTGCTCTATCCTGTGTCATTCTCACTGCCTCTGACACACCCATCCCAGTTACCCCAGTCACTGAATCAATTGTGCCATCCCTCCGCCCTCCCAAGCATGATGTCCCTCTCCAAGGACCTGTCCCTCCTTACAACATGTCCACAGTAGGTCAGATGAAGCCCCAGAATCCTTGCCTCCAAGGAGCAACCTGGTTTAACCCTCTCCAGGTTGAATCTGTCTGTTTTCTTGGCAGTCTACAGTACATTCAATACTCTTCTCGAGCACCACAGCTCAAAGGCATCAATTCTCCTTCTATCCTCCCTAGTCATTATCCAGCTCTCTGATGCATAACAAGTGATAGCAAAGACCATAGCCTGTCTTGGACACACCTTAGTCTCCAGAGTGACATCATTGTTCTTCAGTACTTTGGAGCAGTCCCTAACAGCAAACTTTCCCATTGAAATACGTCTTTTAATTTCCTGGCTACTGGTGACAAGAGTGTTGACCGTGGAGCCAAGCACACTAAAGTTGTTAACACTCTCAATCTCTTCACCATCCATCCTGATGCTGCCAATTGGTCCAGTGGTGAGAATCTTTGTCTTCTTGACATTGAGCCTCAATCCATATTGGAGGCTGCAGTCCTTGAGCCTCTGCAGCAAGCGTTTCAGGTCCTTCTCAGTTTTAGCAAGCAGGGTTGTGTCATCTGCATAACGCAGATTGTTGATAGATCGTCCACCAATCCTGACACCACACTTCTCCTCATAGAGCCCAGCCTCCCGGATAATCTGTTCTGCATACAGGTTGAAAAGGTATGGAGATAGGATGCATCCCTGGTGTACACCTTTCCCAATTTTGAACCATGCAGTGTTTCCTTGCTCCATTCTGACGACTGCCTCTTGGTCCAAGTATAGGTTTCGCATTAGAATGATCAAGTGTTCTGGAATTTCCATTCTTCTCAGAGTCAGCCACAGTTTATGATTCACACAGTCAAATGCCTTTGCATAATCAATGAAATACAGATAGACATTCTTCTGGTATTCCCTGCTTTTCGGCTAAGATCCATCTAACATCAGCTACAATATCCCTAGTACCACGACCCCTTCTGAACCCAGCCTGGACTTCTGGAAGTTCTCTGCTGATGTGCTGTTCCAGTCGTTTTTGGATAATCTTCAGCAGAATCTTGCTTGCAAGTGAAATCAACAATATTGTTCTATAGTTTCCACACTCTGTTGGGTCACCTTTCTTTGGGATGGGAACAAATAAAGATCTTGTCCAGTCAGTTGGCCAAGTGGTTGTTCTCCAGATTTCTTGACACAACTTAGTGGGTAGTTACTTTTTTCATCTCTTTAAAGAATGACAGGGTCTGCATTGGGATTGCATTTTTATCCATAAGCCTGCTTTATTTTTCTATTTGTTTGAATCTCTTTGGTTTCCTATAGTAGTGTTTCATAGTTTTATATTTTGGGTTAGAGTTTTTCTCAGTTATTTAATCCTTTGGGTGACTATTGTAACATTTGAGTTCCTGATTTCATAGTTCTCTTTGTTGCTGTTTCTACCTCTTTGCTATCAAGTCGGAGCTGATTGTAACCCAGCCCTCCAGTTGGATTTTCAGGAGACTGTGGATCACACAGGTGGGGATTTCTTGTCTTTGTTGATAGAGCCGCTGCTGAACTAGAAATGCCAGGGAGATGCCATTTTTGGATCAGCAGTGCGATTTCTGACAAGCTACACCATCAGCGCTCCTTTTGTTCCAGTGGGGCAAGGCAGAATTTTTATGTTGATCTCTTGTACCCTGTTACTTTGCTGAATTGGTCAATTAGACTGGATAATTTTAATGTCCTATTTGAGTCTTTGGGATTTCCTTTATATAGGATCATATAATCTAGAACTAGAGATGGTTTTACTTTCTCTTTGCTAATTTGGATGCCTTTTATTTTTTTTTTTTTTTGCTCTGGCTAGGACTTCTTCATGTATCTTGAATAGGAGTACTAATAAAAGACAGAATAGGAGTGGTGATGAAAGATAACCTTCTTTGCTACCCATTTACAAGGGGAATGGGAATGCCTTCAGTCACCCTCAGCTTTCAGTCACTCTCAGCTGAGAGTAATGTTGGGCATTGGTATTATATACATGCTTTCAATTATGGTGAGCAACTTCCCCTCTGCCTCTAGTTTGTTGAGTGACTTGATCATGATGAGTGATTTTTTTTTAATATGACGTTTGATTTTATTGGCTAAGATTTTTTTAAAAAGACATTTTGTATCTGTGTTCATGATGGTGAAGAGATTGAGGTTGTTGACAGCTTCAGTTTTGTTTGGCTCTACAATCAACACTCTTGGCACCAGTAGCCAGGAAATTAGAAGACAAATTGCATTGGGAAAGTCTGCTGTTAGAGACCTCTCCAAAGTACTAAACAGCAACGATGTCAGTCTGGAGACTAAGGTGCTCCTGATACAGGCCATGGTCTTTGCACTTACTTGCTATGCATCATAGAGCTGGACAGTGACTAGGGAGGATAGAAGGAGAGTTGATGTCTTTGAGCTTTGGTGCTGGAGAAGAGTATTGAATATACTATGGACTGCTAGGAGAACAAACAAGTTCGTCTTGGAGAGGGTGAAGCCAGGCTACTCCTTGGAGGCAAGGATTCTGAAGCTTCGTCTGACATAGTTTGGACATGTTGCAAGGAGGGACTGGTCCTTGGAGAGGGATGTTATGCTTGGGAGGGTGGAGGGACAGTGCAGGAGAGGAAGACCCTCAATGAGATGAATTGATTCAGTCACTGGGGTAATGGAGGTAAGTGTGTCAGAGACAATAAGATTGGCACAGGATAGAGCAGGGTTTGGGGTTGTTGCACATAGGGTCACTAT